TGCTCCCTCTCCTGCTCCTGCTCCTGCTCCTGCTCCTACTCCTGTAGTAGTAGTAGCTTCTCCACGAACTTTACCGCCTAAAAAGTCAAAATTACGTGTTACACCTGCCCGCAGAACATCTGTGCAATCAATAGGTGAGCATGAAGTTCTAACCATAACTCCTGTGGATATCCTCGCTGTAAGAAGCGATGAAAACTTGACGCAACTGCCCACCATCGAGAATGCTAATAATGAAACTGAAACGCTCATCACTGGGGGAGTGGTGGGACAACGTATTGTGGCACGACGTAGATCGGTGCGTCTTAATGGCGGTGCCGGTGCAAACGGAGGAGAAAGCAATCACTAAGTGATTTAACTGATAATCGTCATTGTTCATCATTAAAAACGCATACTCATGAGTTCTTAAGCAAACCCTAAGAGTAAATAAAGAAACCTAAAATGAATTAAAATATAGAATTGTAATGCAGCAACATAATAAATATGGACATCTCTACGTAAGAATAGTTTTTATTATAGTTTATCGTGAAATTGTAACAAAATATATTTTTATTTTTTTTTTATTTTTTTTTTTATTACATTGTAAGCAGATTTTTTCGCCGGTAACAATTATTATTGTCAATATTTCTTTTTAACTGAAGACTATTAATAAATAATTGTGAATTAATTTACACCGTGCTCTTCCTTTGTAATTTAGCTTAATGGTTTTCTATTTCCTTAGCATTTTAATTAATTAAATTTTAACAATCATCATAGCAACACAACACTATCACGATGGGCGTATCTTTTGTGAGAAACAGAGAATAAAACTGAGAAAATATTAAAAAAAAAAAAAAATAAAAAATAAAAAAAAAAATTAAAATAATTTTTTGATTTTTTTATACTTTATCATAATTATAATTTTTTCGAAAAAAAGGCATTTTATTAATGACATTGATTTTTTTCATATTTAAAATTTATTTGCAAACTCATTAGAATGGCAATTATATATATATATGCGTATATTTGTATAACTTTATGTTTTATTAGAGAAAGTATGATAAAAATTATTGCTAGAAGTTTAAAATTATATTTTTTATGCATTTAAATGAATTTAATTTGTCTGGACTTTTATTTTACAAAACATATATATATATATATACATATATATATATATATATTTTTTTTTTTTTCTTTTAACCAATGTTCGTATGCAAAAGTTTAATATTCCTTATTTTTATATATAGAAAATAAATGTTTTCACATTTAACCGTTTGTCATTCTGCATTCATATTCCATCGATCCTATATTTATTTTATTAGTTTTTGCCGAATGTTTTTGATTGACAATTGTTCAATATACCTATACTAATCTAAAGAAAAAAAATATATTCACATGCGATAAAGACTTTCCTGCCTTTGCTACGTTAACATAATCGTCTTCGCTTGCGCTATAAAAGAGAAGAACATATATTTGTGCAACTGGACTTGGAATGATTATGTTTTAACAATTACCGCTGAACGATGGGGGTATACTTATTCTGTTTCTTCTCCATAATGTATGTAGAACTCAAAAGGGCGCTGCAATGATTCTATACAGTACATATATATTTTTCATCAGGGTTAAATTCTGAATTAACTAAGCCATGTCTGTCCGTCCGTATGGTGCTTCTTGTTGGCACTCTCCTTGAAGTAAAAATGAAGCTGTCGACTTGAAATTTGGTAGAAATATTGGAAATTTTTCTACGCATGTTGGTATTGAAAACGAGTCAAATTGGTTACAGCAGAAGCCCGCAGTGCAACATCAAAAAATATATTCACATGCGCACGCAACTCTGCTCTTTACAAAAATTTTTGGTTTTTTGTTCGTTACTCAGGGATTTTACTTTTTACTTTTTGGAAATGGAAAAAATCGGCCATGCCCACATAAAATTACAGGGGATTAAAATTTATGTTTTGTTTTTTTCTCTGTTTTTGAGGTTTTGTGTTTATTTATCATAAGGCAAATAAGATAGAATGTTTAAAAATAGTTTGTACACGCCTCAAATGGCGATATATTGTCCGCCTAAAATGAATAGAATAGAGACCGTGACGTTATAGTTTAATTTTTCTTTAACAATATCAACGATATGGGTATCAAATAAAAGAACTTCGAGAGTAGAATGAGAAAAGCATAGTAGCTATGGTAGTACATGATAAGTTCGTAGTGGGTATGCGAGTATGGCCCCCGCGAAATATAACTTTCTTGCTTTCTATTTCCAAGAAGTTAAACATGAAGCCAGAATGAAATACGATGTAGGAGGGTATTTATCCTCTTCATCCCTCCTTCGACGGCGTTCTAAGTGTTAATGTTATGTAATCCTCTACCGTCCCACATATAGACATAGTTTTTTTTTTTTTTTTTTTTTTTAAAGGAGAACAAAAGCCTAGCAATCTTACAAAGACATTTCGCAAATAAAGTCTGCAAATTAGCAAAGTGTCGCAAGATTCATAAGTGTGGGCAAAAATTGCAATTTGTTTGTTAATACTTTTTTTCTTCTACTCTTCTACCGTTAACAGCGCCTCGCTCTGCTTTATTCATAGCAATTAACGAAACAATATTAAACAAAGCAAACAAACATATTAGAAAGAATGGGTTAAGTAGAAAAGCAAACTTTGAAAATTTAGTAAATTTTTTATTCTGCGTAACACACACACATTAATTAGCAGGAAAACTGATGTGAAACATCTGCTCAGTTGCTTTTGTGTTGCTTCTTTAGACTTTAGATGTGTTTTATGTGTTCGCCGGATATTTTATGGAAAACTCCGTTAGGTTAAACAACTCTCTATAGTTAGATGGATTTGAAGGTGGAAAAAGCATTTACCAAGCGCATTGCATCTACCAAATTTGATCAGAGCTAATGCACCTAATAGTATTAGATGCTTGCACAAGTTTTGATCACTTCTTTCCTTACTTGAAAAAGGCATTTATTGTGGAACGTTAACCAAGATAGCTTCCACCATTTTCTACAATATTTTACAATATCTTTGTGCAACCTAACGATATCATGTCGAAAGAACTTGTATTGATTTTGCGGCTATCCAACCACGACCCATTTTCGCACTTCTTCAACTTTGCGGATTCGCCTGCCAGCCAAGCCAGCGCTGCATCGATCTGAACAAGTGGTAATCAGAAGGATCCATGTCTGGTGAATATGGTGGATGGAATAGCATCACCATAAGCCTCTGAACGTGTTTGATGGGCTTCGGCAGTGGATTTTTTCAATTAAACAACAAAAGTTATGAATTTGGAAGAGGAGTTTTCAACGCTCCATGATCAGCGTCGGCGTACGCTGATTACACCAATAATAATGTTAAATGGAAAACTGTGATTTTATGTAGAGAAAGGTCCAAGCCATCAAATTCAACCAGTTAGGTAGACTGGTCTTTCCAATTTCTTTATCATTTTTACCTGTAGACGTTGCTGATCAAAGTGCTTGCAAACAGCCAATGGATGTTATTATTATGATTGCTTTTCTAATTTTCTGACTAATGAACAGACACTAGCTTTACAATTTCATAAATGAAATCATTGTTAACATGTTCTTATTATCTATCTATTGGTTTTATATTCATCATCTTTCGTACCATTCCTATTTAATTTGATGGGGACTGAAGGCGCCGCCGAGTACTGAGGACGTATTCATTTTTTGAAGGAAGCTTTATTGGAACTTCATTCATACAAGTTAGTTAGTTGATGCAGGTATGTCCGTCTACGCGGCAAACACTCTTCTTGTCGGGAACGAAGATATCGGCTTCAAAGTTTGCTAAAACCCTTGCACGCAGGCTGGTATTGAAGAATGGCTAATACAGTTAAACCATACACCTACACATATATGACAAACTTTTAAAATTTGGCTTCAAAAGCAGAAGAGCTTGCCTTTTCGACCATTAGTTATAAACTGTAACGATATCGATGGGCAAAAGAGGGGGCACGCCTCCCCATTGGTATATAAGATTGAAATTTAATTTGTTTGCCCGAGAAATTCATCCCGACAACCCGATAAAATTTAATCATTTTGCTTAACTTAAAGGCATAGTAAGTGAATAGAAAACTTTGGAAGCAAGGTTCTACGTACTAAGTGCCCTCAAGTATATAAACCGCTTTTATAACTGACCTGACTTTGCTAATTTGCTTTTTTTGTACCAATAACTTTTACCTATATAAACATGTTCGGAAGATCACTGTTCATTAGTCATAACTTATTTAAGAATCGATTCATACTACAGTTTGGATATAAATAATTTTTTTTTTTTTCGAATCAAACGTTCTGTTTATTGAAGGCTGAAGTTGATTTTAGTATTTCCATAATCACAAAATCAAGCTTCAATTTTCTTTAAGTTGGCCTAGTTGTGCGCTTAAAATTTACAGAAAAATAGCATACAAGCACGACGTGGTATGGCTTATGGCTTAATACGGTGTGCCACATAAGATAAGGGTATATTAAATTTCTGACACTCAGATCCGTATTTTATTATACCTGAGATATTTTGACGAAATTCGGTGCGACGACATAGTTTAGCTTAAGGATGAATGGTATTGAAAGTTTTGAATTTTTAGCTAAAGCGACTTTAATGTCAAAAAATGGCAACTCTGTTAAATGGTTAAATTGTAACGCCATTCAGCTGTGTTTAATAGCAAACAAGTAGTGGAAACCTCTGTTAAATGGTACTTTAACATTGCCTGCGTTATTAACATTATCTTCATTTTTAACATGTAAGTAACGTACGTTCCGTTTGATTTCACTTGCGCCATCTATAGTGCAATAGTTTCAGTTCCAGCAAAAAAAGGGTCGCTTTTCCTCAGACAGAAACCAAAATTTTAAAATCACGGATTGTTTTCAAAAAATGTTGCCTACTCTTAGGCTTATCTCGTTCGTTAAATCGTATATTTATTTTCAAAATATTGTCAAGCATTTGTTTTTTTTATTTTAATTTGTTTTTTTTTTTTGTATTTTTATTATTTATTATATATCTCGAAGAAGTAGACAATTTTTCAAAACAAAGACTGCGGTTAATCTACGCAAGCGTACAGTACAGTATTTTAATTGCATTTTATGGTAGTGGTATGGAATACATGCAATATACATACAATGATTGGATAATTAATAAAACCAAATAGATTTACAAATTATTTACAATAGGAAAAATATCTATAAAAACTGGTTAATTGGCTTGTGTTTCAAATTTATTAAGAAAAGAAAGAAAAAAAAAAAAAAAAAAAACAATCTATGCAGTGTCTTCTATTAGTTTCTCAATTAAACAAACATTCGTGTGTTGCGTTGGAGCTTGCGTTGTTGTCAACAAGAAGCAACATAAATTTTTATTCATTTCATGTGCAATCGCAAAAGTTGTTTAGCTACTTGAATAGTTGTTGGTCAGTGTCGCGGCCATTAATGATATAATGTGACACCGTTTATGTCGCTTTTAACAAATATTGAATAGTATAAGACTTAACCATGAGAGAAGACTTCAAGTCAAGGTTTTTCTGTTTTTTTTTTTGTTTTTAAATGGTCGTCTGTTGCTAAAGAAAAACAAATCAAGTTTTTTCTTCTTCTTATTTTTTTTGTAATTAAAAATTTCAAATGTTTCATATTTATTTCCTTCGGTTTTTATTATTGTCTTAATAAGCCAAAAGGGATTTCTTTTTATTAAAAATGTTTTACGTTTTCTTTTCCCTCTTACAATGTATTTTTGTTGTTGTTGTTTTTTTATTTAATTTATTTTATTTTTAAATAAAATTAACAAATCTTTTGTAAGATATTACGGAGAAGGGATTTTTTAAATATTTTATTCGCTGATTATCAGTAGTTGGCAGTAATTTCATTTCGTTTCAAGTAAAAATTAAATTAATATTTATAACCCGGCCGTCCGCCTGGACCTTGCGGAAATCTGGGTTCACCCTCGTAGCTAACATCCGCATGATAGCCTGTTTTCCAGTCTGCGGTATAACGTACAACCTGAGTACGTCCGTCAGGCAATTGCACGCGATATTCACCTTTCACTTCGTCGCCATTGCTGGCCGCTTTATGGGCATAATCGTTGGCCGTTTCGATATCGTTGACGGCATATTCAAAATCGAATGGCATGCCTGGCATGTGTACATGACCCTAAAAATAAGTCGAGATAAGAGAGAAAAAACGAAACGAAATCAATTCAAAACTTTTCACACGAATAGTATCGTGCGATCGTGCTTACTGGTCCTGGTTCACCTCGTGGCGGTGGCCGTGGTCCAGGTGGTCTGGGTCCGGGTGGTGATGGTCCAGGACTGGGACGTCCCGGTTTCTGCAATTAAAAGAGATAAAGAAAATTAGGAGACAAAAAAAAAAAAAAAAAAAAAACACAAAAATAAATAAATAAAAACAAAAATTAAAAATAGATTTCTTAGAAAAGTTGACCCACTTTAGAACGACCAAATTCATGTTAATGTCAATTCAAGTTGAGGTGCGGCCACCAAGAAGAATAAGTTCATTACATATATTATCTATACATTCATATATATATATATATATATATATATATATATATATATATATAAAAGTGTATTTATGTATTCATGTATGCATGTATGTATGCATGTATACATGTTCGTGCCACACAAGCGCATTCAGCATGAAAAGAAGAAAAAAAAGCACTTGTTTAATATTTAAAAGCGTTTTGTTTCTCTAGCATTTTGCTTAAATTTTTCTTTTTTTTTTTTTGTTTTTTTCATTTTTGTTTCTCTCTAAAGTTCAAATTGTGCTTATTTAGTTATTGTTGCTATGTTTACAGACATTGTTTTTTTTTTTTTTTTTTTTTTTTTTGCCAAATTTTGTAAATCCATACGTGATTTTATGCTCTAACATGGATTGGAATAAAATTAAATAAAAAAAAAAAAAAAAAAAACTCCGTCAACAAAACGAGACTAGACATCGACTGTTAAACAATAACAGAACACGTAGAAACATTTGTCTGATTAAAAGAGAGCAACAACAACAGCACACAATGCAACAATGAATGAAAAGAGCAAACAAAAAATGTATGGAAATCGCTATTAAAATATTTTTACTTAAAATTCAGAAAAATTTAATCCAAATACTCGTTATCAGGTTAGCAGAAATTCGACTCGATGTCGAGTTCATTGCATCCACGAAATCGAATAATTACTTACTAGGAAGTAAGACAAGAAGAACTTAATGCAAAATAATTTTTATATTAAGCAGCGTCGGAGATATTCCGAACATTAAAGGTCTAAGCAGTTGAAAATGCTCGATGTATCCTCTAGGGGTCATCGCAAATGAGGAGAAAAACTGAATCTTTGTGTGTGTGTGTGTGAGTTCGCCTAGAGCAAGCTTATAGTAAGCAAAAATGTATGCATTCATAGGGATTTAAAATTTACTTAAGATTTTTATGCTCAGCACTGTAGATGGCGATGAAGACTTTTTCCTTCCGTTTGCAATATCCATGGATGGAAGTTTTATAAAATACTGGTTGTGCTTAGCTTAGGGTAAGATTCTATATTCATGGGAACTACGTCCTGGCCTATAAGCCTTTTTAAGAAAGCGAAACAAAAATTATTTAAAAGAAGGGAAAGAAAGGTTTAGGTAAAAGTATTTTATTTTGCTTAAAGCATTGAGCAGCGATATCCACCACTTTGAGCCGCTTTTTGCTCGCATAAGAAACGCTGTCCGCAAAGAAAGTCTTTCTCTCCTTAGTTTACAGTTCAGCTGAATTAATTAACACATAATACAATGAGGTGGAAAAATCGATAGGTAATTTATTTATATATACGATCTGATCTAATTAGAAATATTTTGTAAGACAAGCCATTATATAATGAATGCGATGACATATGCCATGATACAGATCGAATTTTTATAACCTCAGATTCAGAATCATTTTCTGAATCAATCTAAACTTCTCGGTCCGTCTGATGTCTGCCCATGTATTTTTGTGTTCAACATTGAAGGTCGCAATTTTTTTTAGATAATTTTGATGAAATTTGGTACACTAACATACTTTGATCCAAGGACAAACGCGGTTAAAAATAGTTCGGATCGGTCATTCCCCATATAAGTCTTTATTGTCACTTTTTGAAAATTTTTCGACAAAACTCGTTGACTAGTAGTAGTTTGACATTCTAAATTGAAATGAAAAACTTGGTTTGGTCGAAGCAATTTTTTGAACCACCCCTCATATAATCAATCGTTCCTACGCAATCTAAATCTTTATATAGTGAAGATATTATAATTTCCAAGATTTCGTGGCGAAAATAACTTCATACCAGTAAATTAACAAAGAAATCAGCCTTACCGAATTTGGTCCACGTGGGTCTATTTTTTGGGCATCATCTCACGTAAAGAGTCTCAGGAAATATAAAGCCTTATATACCAAAAAGGCGTAATTTTTTATTATATTATGATGAAAATTTGCTCATAACGGTAATTTGATGTGAAAATTAAGTGGACGAAATATGAAATAAATGGTCTCGTTCTTGGACCCCACTTCATATGAGATTTTCATGATAAGTAATTTTTTTAGAACAAGCTTTCATTTTAAACATTTTGATCGTTAGTAGGCGTTTAGCAAAGAAATTAACGGCAAAGAATTTGGATCAAATAGGTCTATTTTGAAGACCCTGACATATATTCATATCGAGAGAAAGTCGAATTTTTCGTTTTCTATGACAGAAACTGAAAAATAATAAAACTTTTAGGAAGCAAAGTAAATTTGAATCAAGCCATGTCATCTTGTAGACATCCTCTAATATGCGGGCTTCCGCGGGAAGAATGCCTTTGCATTTGAATAATGTGTACTTTTTGGTGTATTTTTATCAAAACGCGTGAATAGTTGTACTAGGCGGCGAAGTGATTCGAGGGTATTTAAAGGTCGGTCTTGCCCGACTCTAATATTCTTACTTGTTCAACTAATGATTATTGACACAGTTAAGTTACACACAATTAAATGAACAACAAATGGCTTCAAAATTGAAATGCTATAGCAATTGCGTCATTTTGCATCACAATGCGAATTACAAACGAATGCTGTAGCATTTACGTCCGTCAATGTTAACATTAATCAGTACATAACTATCCTCAGTTGGGTTTAGTAATTCACACCCAGCAAAGTGAAGCTTGGTGCCATGAGTCTTCCGCCTTGTCGTTAATGCAATCATTCCATTGATCTCCAATATTTTCCATTATACGCCATTCGTCATCAAGGCTTTAGAAGAACTTCTCTGTGCGATCAAAAAGGAACAAATGCAGAGTTCTCTAGTAAGTAGATGTGTTTTTCTACGCATACGTGAGCCGTCTTGCTTGCACTTCGTATGCCTGAAGAGAGTATGGGTTCTGTGATAGGAAAATGAGGAAGAAACACAATGTTGTTCCTTATGACGTAATAGTAATTATGCAACTGTTTAAAATCAGTTTTTTAATAATTTCTCTCTTTTGTTTTTGGGATGAAAGAAACAAGAGATTGATAATATCTGGGAAAGCTATCAAATATCTGTGTAAGTGTTAAAACATCATCAGACCGGTGTGCCGGTCTTTAGAAAAAGAGAGTCTATTAGTTGAAAGTGAAGATCACACCGCATTGCAAGATAGTTAAGTAGTGCGACAATGAATTTGCCAGACCCAGGTTCAGTTCGCACTGAGATAGACCGTGTGGGTATTTATAGTGAGTACGCGGTCAGCATAACACTTAGCGATCGGGCATACATATATATCTCATGGGGCAGCCACTCGTTACCTTTCTGTCGCGATCTTTTCCTCACTATTATCGTTTTTGTATGTATTCGTGTATAGAGGATATCCCGGAAATGGCGGGTCATAAAAAAAAAATATTCTAGTTGTTGCACACACAAAGGGCGCAACCTTCATACCTATAGCTGGGGAAATAAAGTTTAAAGCTACTTATCGAAAATGTCCTGCGTACGTCTCTTTAAACTATTGTTTCGAAAATATGTTGAAAACTCGAACGAAAAGAATGGAAATCTGAAACTGGCCAATGGTTATGCTGTGTGCCACTTTTGAAAAAAGTACGTCAAAGTTCTGCAATGTATTATAAAAATGTTTTTTCTTGCACCAACCTTTAGCTCTTTGCCTATGACAACGTCCCTCCTTCTTTCAATATTCCTCTTCATTTATTCTTTTTCCTTGAAAATGTTCCGATGGGAAGCGTCGCTAAATCGATTTATGAGAGTAATTTGGAATAAAATTTAACTGTGCATATATCAAATGTGAATCGACTAAGTCCACTTTTGGCCACCATATAAGAAGCCCCATGAAAAATTAACCCTTATAAGTCGGAAAGGTTAAATTTCTAATATTTGTTGTTGGAAATTGGTTCATGATCAAAATTTGGCGACACAATTTGATCAGATATCAACCGCGAGTATCCGTTTGTCGGATCCCCATCCATATAAGAACCTTCGTGAGCTATAAGACTCTTTGAAAAAAGATGTAATTTTCTAACATTTAATCAAAAAAAAAAAAATGAGTCCGTTATAGCAATTTGGTATAAGCAGATCAACTGCAGGAAATCGTGATCACATAGGCTTGTTGTTTACTCCTCACCACATTTTCATGAGCAGTAAGCCCTTATACAATCATATAATAATACATCCTGTAACAAGTAGGAAACAGGAAAGAAGCAAAATTTGGTTCACTCCAGTTGCCCTTTACGGCGGCCTTCAACCGGCGGCATTTAGACGGAAAATGTGCCTTGCTTGTGTTGTATTACTGCGGAAATAATGAAACAACTCAATTAAGTAAAGTAGGGTGGTAGGGTGTTTAGCGATCCGGCCTTACTCCTCAACAATGTCTGTACTTTAAATGTTTTTTGGTCGAGCAAGCATATGAGCTAAAGTACATTGATGTCGGATTATTGCGAGTTATCTATGTATCGTAAATATAGAAAGTTAAACTCCTTGGCTTCTCGATTCTGGTAAAATGGATTTCAACGAACAATAATTTCATGGAAAGTACGATCATTTTTTATGATATTTTACTCGATCCCCAAAGCCCAAATCCCTGAGATCACTCTCGGTTTAAGTGTACCATGAACCATAAAATTGTTTCGTTATTTGTGCTTGGCTTTAGTTAACCTCCAAAGGCCCAGAGCAAATTAACTCTGAGAGCTAGGAATTGAAAGTGCGATTGTTTATCTTACATACATTAATACTTTTTTTTTTTTCTCGACTAGCAACTCAATAGTCGTGGGTTCAAACCTCAAGTGCGGTAGAGTTTTTTAATAAAAAAGCCGATAGCCCTAGATGCTAGTGCTTTAAGACTTTAGTCTTAGAA